TCAGGAAGCAGCGCACCCATAATGAAAATGCATGTTTCTTTTGTTTTTTACATATCTAATATATTTTTGGAATAAACAAAGGACTCAAATACAATATCAATCTATTTATATGTAGATTATATTTATTTTTTTAATCTATCTAGAACTTTAATTCTTATCAAAATTTGAAAGTGACACTTATTTTCGTTCACAAAGGGAGATACTTCAGGAATTGTCAAGTTATGTTGTCTCATGGAACACGCCACAAGTTAACGTGAACATACATATAATGTAGTCCTTTTCTATTCTTTTAAATTAAGTAGAGCTAATAAATTGATTTGTCTGATTTGATTTAAATTGAAATGAAAAGCGAAACCTATTCCCAAACGTTTGGCTTGTCTGACAGCATTGCTAAGGGTGCGGTGACCCTATCCTTTACAATGTCTTTATTGTGTCAACTGTCTCAAGTATCTATATTTTATTAATTTAAAACGAGTAAATGTACACTTACATATTAAAAAGACCATTTTTAAATCGGTCCATTGAATGCAAAATTCAAAGATTATCCTGGTGAAAATGTCTATTTACTGATCAGTAAAGTACATTCAATGAACATTGTCTGCGAAAATATATTGGAAAGTGATGTTTGGAAAATGTTCAACATACGTTACTTAATGATGACATTTTAAACCCAAACGAGCATGGAAAACCATTTTTTACTTCATTTCGCATGTTTAGATTGATGTAATTTTATAACATGCGAAAATAAAGACAAAAGCATTGTCGTTGGTTGGTTGGTTTGTTGTTTAACGCCGCACTCAGCAATATTCCAGCTATATGACGGCGGTCTGTAAATAATCGAGTCTGGACCAGACAATCCAGTGATTAAAAAGCATTGTCACATATGCAATCCAGAAATTATAACAGCGGAACTCTGTGCTGTTTGAAAACTGTAACATTGAGCAGGGTCTCACTGGGCGAATACAAAGGGAAACCACTCTCAGTTAGAGTATGATTAGCTGCCTCTGAGTTGACAATAAGGTCATGGTCAGTACTTTAACCTGCTGACACCGTCAGTATTTATCCTTCCCAAATTATCGAAAAAGAATGTTGTTTCACACTTCTTCAGCATGGACTCGGATAGACACATATTATAAGCTATCGACTCCATAGTTATGTGGATCGCTGTTGCTATGAAGAACATTTCTGACGTGAAATCTTTTATCTGTTCTTCGTGTTTTCGAAGTGTCAGTTGGAATCCCACAGTTATCAGAACTGGCTATGTTTGAACGTAAAGCAGATTAGTTGTTTGAAATCAATTGTTTGCAAAGTATGCCGCCATCTTTGATGAAGATAAAATAAACATACGACAGGTATGGAGCTATCTTAGATTTATGACCATCTTACAATATCTTAAAGCTCCGATAGTTTTGAAAAAAGACCACGATAGACTACGATTTCCATACGATAACTTAACAATACTTTTAGGGCTACGATCGTTTCGAAAATCTAGGGCCTGTATCATTTCGGGCTTACACCACACATTAAGTTGACACCCTTTCCTGTGACAGACACATCATTATACATAATTGAATACAGAAATAACGTGTTCATAAAGTTTATACCAACCACCAAACCCAATGATGCAAATAGTTCCTTTTCTTCAAGGTCAAATTACAATGATGATGTATCTAGGCCTGTCAGCACCATACCTTACTAGTGGGTTTCACTTGCATCATGTCGGGTTTTCCCCAAACATTAAGCTGACACGCCATGATATAACTAGAATACTGTTAAATGCAGCATTCAACCCAACTCACTCACTCACTCATTATACGCATGTGACAGGGGGCATTCACCGGTGCACTCGTGGGTTCAATAATCATGATGTGGATCTGCCTGGCTTCTTCATTTTCCGGTGTTGTGAAGCCTACGCCATGGCTTCCTCCTGGATCAACTAACCAATGCATGACTGCAACACCACCAGTGGCTTCAAAAACGTCAATATGGACGACATTTACTCCATCTGTGTACAACGCATCGGTGGCCGAAACTTTCCGAGAGCCGTATGTATCAATCAAATAAAAAAAACCATATGTGACAGCATTGAAATGAAATAGCTTTGTAATATGTAATACTTAAAAGAAGTCAAAGACCATCATTCATTCATTTTACTATAATTAATATGTCATGTCATGGCAAAATAATCGGGTGTGATGTCCTATTAACATATTTTAAATTAAAAATTTAAGTGATTCAAATGATATTCTACCATGAAATTGAAGAATAATTGATTCTGATTGATTTAAAAGAGCTGTTCTTAAGGACTTTGCAGGAGGGGATTTGACAGTCAATCAGAAAACACTCCTTCCTTCGAAAGTCCACGGAAACAATGTCCAGATATCACTGAATTCACACCTTATCAAACTTGATGTAATTCATTTCAGAACATGATAAAGAAAATCATACATGAACCACCATTCCGGGCCACAAATGTCTCATCCCTTTCACACGCCAGCTTTGAATGCGTGAAATCTTGAAATTGACAGGTCAAATCAAGCAGATTGCTCGTGTCAAAATATCGGGCTCGTCTGCAGCTTGAAAAGCTGTTTTAAAACTATTTCTACAACCTGTCCCCACTACCATGGAAAATGACTTCTCATGCTTATTTCCAAGAAATGACTTGGTCCAAACAATGCACAGCAGGTTGCGATGAAATTATAACATAACATCTATCTTTGGACAAAGTTTGGAGGGTCAGTTGTTAACTTCTTTTTGAAAAACGATGTGTTTTGAACACTTATTTTGAACTAATGAAGACTATGGGTTAAGTTGATTTTGAACTTCTGTGCTATTTGTTACATATATAACTAGCTGTGTTTGCGTCCCTTTGTACCCTGTGTTGTTACGCGTTGCAAGAGAGCACCGTTTTTAAAAGCGTTGTTGCCGTCATGGTAGAATGGAGATAAATGTACAGTGTTTTCAAATTTGATGTAGTCCCTCTGTAGAGTAGATACCTCTTATTTATACATTTGAATAAATCAAAATTAAAGTAAGAGGTATTTACTTTACAGCAGGTCTATATCAAATTTCAAAACATGGTCGGTTTATCTTCTTATTGCAAACTGCTTTTGTATTACTGAGTGTTAAAAGTTCTGATTCAAAACCAGTTGATTATTAATATTTAGTTCAGATTATAATGGACATTTTTACCAGTAAGGTAGACTGATCGAGCTGTGTGAATTAGGAGTTTTCGCACGTGTGTATTTTAAAGTTTCTAAATAAGGCTGGTCACGTGACGAAACATTGTTTCATTTTGGAAAATGATATGATATGGCGTCCTCCTTTAATTTGTCCATGACGTCTGAACAATAGGCTGACCGCTGAGTTCATATGGCATACCATTTTCCTGTATTGTCGTTCATTGACTCACCATGGGTAATCTTGTCATAAACTATTTAAATATTTGGCATTATCTATGTTTACATTTTCCCATTTGTCAGTTTAAGCGGCACGAGAAAGGTGACTATGTCGACCATGGGAAAATATTATTGAGAAACAAATTTCAACTGATGAATTATTTGATGGGTATTGATCAGAAGTTGCTGGATGACAGAGTAGACAACAACAATTTATGGACAACAACTTTATTTCACTGTAATAGCGACGATTCGGTATAGATCCGTATATACGGTATAAGGATCTATACTGATCTATACTAAAACGTCACCATTACAGTAAAAAAAAAGATGTTGTTGTCCATAAATTGGGACGTGTGGTTTTCTCACTGACATTAAATCAATTCAGCAGCGATGTGTGCACCTTTTGACATACACAAATGTGAGTGTTGTATAAGTATTTGGATTTTTTACATCTTGAGTGAACATGTTTTAGGATATGGATAGAGGAAATCTACCGGCTCTCTTATGTGTGGCTTGGACTTCTCGGCACTAGTCTGACAACACTCACTGGCTTCACTGCCAGTTGGATCACAGGTAACAACATTAACGGATAAACCTTGGACGACTTAACTTTGGAGTTTACACATACACGAGTATACTTCTTTATAATATTTCCAGGACGCATGAATGGCCTTGTCATTAGTTTGACTACACCCATCGGCATTATTGCCAGCTGTGTACAGGTAACAACATTATTAGGTAAACCCATGCTTGCTGTAATAGGCGACAATGCTTGTCCTAAGAGGCGAATTACGGGACCGGATGGTCAGGCTCATTGACTTGGTTGATGCATGTCACTTGATTTTCTGGTCCAGACACGATTATTTAGAGGCCCCCGTCATATAGTTGTAACCTCTTGGCACACGTGGCCTTGTCATCTGAACAACTGTAAGGCCTTGTGCGATCCTCCAATCTTTTCAGAAACTTTTCATGTCTCAAACTATACTTGACCTTTAGTAAACCAAAACGTAAACTCTATGGATGACAACTCTGATTTATTGCATACAGCAACGTTTCAATGCAGATTCTTACACCGTTATTAGGCTTGAGGTAGAAAAATGTAAGAAAAACGTTCAAGCGTCAAAGCACTCGGACGCAAGCGTTCTGGTGCATTAACTAACAGGTTTCGGGCAAACCTATTCTTTATCACACATGGGGATAGAGCTAACTTCTTTAACAGATAACAAAATTGTAATCCCTTCTAACGAATACATGTAGCTGCAATATTGCCGACACGGCTTAAATCAAGTTATGCTCATTGTCTAACTGTTTTCGAAAATGACAAAAAAATCATGGAATAAATCCGCCTGCTCGTTTTACTTACCTCGTGAGGAAATGCAGGGACCTTAAGAAATGTGGGATCTGAAACTTTCAAAGGGATAAATTTTGATCCTACCATCACGACAGTGCATCCAAGTCAAACGTGAATATCTCCCCTAACACGCTACATACAGTATGCATATCATGTCTGATCATAATTTCAGGTTTTAATCGCAACAGCCCAGTAGATCCCAGGTACTTGGTGCCTGTAGTTGACAGACTGTGCTGCTGTCTTCCCAGATCAACCAGGGCTTTCCTTTCACGAAGAACAAACGAGGATAGCATCAGGGTAGTCTGAGGATGTTGTTTCTGTATGTAAAGGTTGATTCAATGTTATGTGAGCTTATGGTGTCAAATTCATATTCGGTGCTTGGGGGAGGGAAGTTTTACAAAAACATACTCTTCAAAGAAAGAAACAGAAAGCCAGATTTGTGAAACGTAGGAAAATACATTTATACGAAGAACCGTACTACGTATTGAGACGAAATGTTGTGGAGAGAACACCAGTTATCGGTACATAGGAAAGGTCCAAGGTGAAGGTCAGCTACTATCAATTACGCGTATGTACCCCGTTGGAGTCGATAGCAGCCTGATATCACCTGCACATGGGGTGAGTATGGTTTTACGCCACTTTTAGCAATATTCCAGCAATATCACGGCGGGGGACACCATAAATGGGCTTCACACATTGTACCCATGTCGGGAATCGAACCCGGGTCTTCGGCGTGACGAGCCAACGCTCTAACCACTAGGCTACCCGACCGCCCCTCTTCACATGGAAGAGACAAATACGCGAATCACATCCTGGGGAATGGTAGCCCACTCGGCCTGCAAAAGCCAACTGCTGCAACGTTTGGGGTTGTGGTTGATGTCGAAGTAGCCGTCTATCCGATTCATCCCACAGGTGCTCTATCGGGTTCAAATCACGGGATCTGGAGGGCCAGGGGAGAACATCAACGTTGTTGTTGTGTAGACAGGAACTTGTGATCCGTGCTGTATGCGGTCGAGAATTTAGTTGATGTAAGACTGCCATGGATATGGACCAAACCTGTCGTGCCATGATGAGAGATAGCCGCCCACATGATAACGCTACTCTCATCAAAGCTGTCCATTTCCAGTACGCAGTTTCAAGCGTAAAGTTCTCCCCGACGTCTGTAGACCCGTGCTCTTCCATTTACTCAACAGAGGAGAAATATTGATTCGTCACTGAACTCTTTCGTCACTCTCCATCGCGGTTGAGGACATACCCAGATTTGACGACACCAAGGCAGTCGTTATTGACGATGTTGTCGACTCAATATGACGCTTCAAACAGGTCATCTTGCTCGTAGACCTGCTGCTCTTAACCAGTTTCGTACGGTCTTGGTGGAGACTTTGGCAGTCCTGGTATTTGGGATGCGGTTGTGGCTGTGATCGTCCTTTCACGTAGGGTGTTGCAGTCGCATGTAGCGATCTTGGGCGGGATGGTTACTCTTGGTCGTCCCGACCCTGGCCGATTACGTGTTGACCCATGCTGTTGAAACCGATCCCATAGCCTTGTGATTGTGCTGGGCGCTACATTGGAAACCTTGATCGGGATTCCCCTGCCTGAAAGCACGACTTTGTTTCTTTGCACTTCTGTTAATCATGGCATGTTGAACTGTCACTGTTCGATTGATGCAGATGCCAGGCAATCAAAAACCCTGCACTTCAATACCGTTCATAATGCTGCTGCACGTGCAGTACGTGCAGCTTCATGGCCCTTTTAGTTATGCACTGTGTGCGTTTTTTTCCGAATCGTACGTGTTTCCCGACTGATGGTTTGTCTGGAAATTTGTCACTGACACTATAACACATTAAACCTCTTCATTTTGCACCTGTTGGTCCGCTAATTACCCGTTTTGCGTTTCTTTTTTAGAAGAGTATAATTAATTCGTTGAAATTACACAATGACGATGTACCTAAATATATCGATTAACGATACCACCATACACGCAGCAAATAGTAAAGTTTAATTCACATCAAAATATTCAAACCTGTTTCTAGAGCACTCTGCAGAGTTTTGTGAAAAAAACAGATTTTATTCATTCTAGCAATATTTTACATTTACAGATAATGCATGGTATGTAATACTGTCCATTGTGGACAGGAAAATAATATGTTCTGTTGCTATAATTACGCGGGTCAAAACATATTTCCAATTTATACTAATGATCTATAAGTTGTTGACAATAGCTGCTGGTTGCCCAGAGAGAAACAAATTTTAAGCGTTTGTTCGGGGGTCACTTCATCCGTAGATAATGAGAGAGAAAGATAGAAGCAAACATAACCTCGCAGTTTAGAATGCACAAAGTCATAAAGTTCAGAAGTTATTTAAAAAAATAATAGTCTTTATTGCCAAAATTTATTGTGTGTTGTAGATTGCAGTGAATCTTGCTGGGCCTCGGCTGATGACGCCAACAGAGGGACGACATGATCTGCCGCTGTCGGTCAGAGGGTCGGAGGAGTTGTCTCCCTTACAACCATGCAGGGGGGTCGAAACTATATGATATTTAATCCGAAGGATGGACGAACACTTCTCTCCACGTTAAGACTCACTAAAAATAGAGTTCCAGGTAAAGTTTGGAAATTCAGTCGGAAAAGAACCAACCTCTTGGACATTCAAACCACCCATCGAGCCTGAAGGCCGAGAATGAATTAAACAGCTCGTCTTGGTTCCACAAATTTTATGTCTTCTGGTTTCATTTCTCACTCGCATATTCCCAACTGTGTCTTCCCATTCTCATGGATCTAATGTTTGAATCTGACCGTTACTGACCATGTCATTTGAATCAGCTGTCTTCTCTCTGACATATTTGTTCCAGTTCGTTGTAAACAGTCTGACAGTTGCTGTTCTCGCCTCTTGCCTGACAGGTCCTTTGAACTCTGTTTGATGCTTCTCATCGTTGATTGGCTGCTGACTCTGTGGGCGTGTCAAGTTATGTGCATGAATTAAACAATCACCTGATTCATGTAACAGGATATTGTATCGTTTTCAGGGATATTGTTTTAGATTTTCATTTCAAGTAGTTTTTATCTTTATTAGCTTTAGTATAAGATGTATGTGCTGTGGTTAAGAGTCCAAGCGGTTGGTCCATTTTATTAACGGGTGGACAGGTTATTCTATTCCTATTACCTTGCATTTGCACACTTGTAGTGATTCTGCTTATAAAATTTGCACAGACAAGACATGGATTTGTTTGTTTGTTTTTGAACGCCGCAATCAGCAATATTTCAACTATATGACGGCGGTTTGTAAATAATCGAGTCTGGACAAGACAATCCAGTGATTGACACCATGGGCATCGATTTACGCACACTAGTCAGGGATCCTGACCACCCGATCCCGTTAGTCTCCTCTTACAACAAGCATAGCCGCCTTCTACGACAAGCAAGGGTTGCTGAATACCTATTCTCTTCCCGAATCTTCACGGGTCTGCAATACATTGACAACAAATAGCGCAGCAATGCCATAATGTGGGAAGCGCACGTAGTATACCTACAGAATACGAACAATCATATTTATACTATTACAGGAGTTTCATTTGCTTGTTTCTTGTTTAACGCTGTCGTCAGCAATGTGCAGTCTTTGTTTCGACAATTTTGACAAGACAACACATTGACTTATGATGCAGATAAAGTCCCTAACAGCCAGTACGGTGCGGCGCTGGCATCGAGCCTGCCAAAGCGATAGGTTGGCAATCTGCCAAAAGAAGGCCTGACGCAAATAGCTGAAAGTGAGATTGATAGTTTCGTCGGCTTTTACACCACAATCCACACGGGGTATAAAGGCTATAAATAGGGTGATGATACATGATTAATTATTTATTTTTTTTAAATAATTTATGAAAATAATGTCCAAAACTGAAAGTGCTAAGATTATTTGAACAACGAAATGCTAAAATGATTAATGTGACCTCCTGAATCGAGTGAGTGGGTGTGTTTTCTGTTATATATACTCATGTATGATTGACAGTTATATACCTCTCCAACCAATTATGATGTTAGTTTCTTATAAAACAATTCTTTATTATAAAAAAAGACGATTATCAAACGGACATTCTTATTTATTCGACTTTTGGTCTGACTTTATTTCCCCTAAACTCTGAGAATAATATAACGTGCCAACTAGATAAGGGTTGTCTTGCGATTATGCTTGTCGTTAGAGGCGACTATGCTTGTAAGAGGCGGCCAACGGGACCAACGGTATTGGGTGGTCAGGCTCGCTGATCTGGTTGATGCATGTCGATTATCTAATTTCAGTCACTGGATTGTCTGGTCGAGACTCGATTATTTACAGACCGCCTTCATATAGCTTGAATATTGCTGAGTGCAGAGTATTGTTCATACGTCGCTTTTAGCGATATTTCAGCAATATCAACCTGGGGACACCTGACTAATGGCCTGACTTTATTTCTCCAAGACACAGAATAATAAAAGGTGCCAACTAGATAAGGACAGACTGTTTGAGAACTTGGTACACCAAGCAGTACCAACGTATTGCATTTTAATCAAATATTTTTCGTCCTACCGACATGATTTTTTTGGCAAAATATTCATAAACCAAAGGCTAGTCTAAGTGGGCATAAAACTAAATTTCTACAGATTTTCACTGTCCCACTCGTTCACCTGTATTCGGAGGAACCGGTCGGCAGGCAGCTACAGGGAAATGATGCGATATCATCACACGATCACTGACTACTATTGTGTACAGGTGCAATGTATAACAAATATAATATAAAACGCTAGAGAATAATCTGTATCCGTCACGTGAGATTGTATACGGAGGAACCGGTCGGCAGGCAGCTACGGGGGAATGATGCGATATCATCACGCGATCACTGACTACTATTGTGTACAGGTGCAATGCATGACAAATATCATATAAAACATTGGGCGAAAAAGGGAAAATAGTGATGAAAGTGGTATGAACGGATCACTGAAAATGAGTGAGCACTACCAGTAGCTGCCGCCTCATACACAATTTGCAGAAAAAATATGTGTTCTTGTTCCGGAAATACCATGTAATATGATAAGGAATATGAATATGATTATGTTTATGAGTAACCACTATTTTGTATATTTTTCTTTTCTCTTCTTTTTTTTTCTATATTTTTGTTCACTTAACATATTACTAGCCTGTGTTTTTTTATTACATTCTTAACCTAGCTGTACACAGGTAGCCACCTAAGATTTATATACTCAACAACAAAAGTTCCTGTGACAGCAATATTTCAGTGTATTTTTCAAACAAGTAACGCTTG